CATTTACTTTCCCATTGAGTTACATTCCAGTGTTCACGGGGATGGACGTCTGTGTCGTCGGCAGGCGTAGAGCTAACAGAATCTGTAGTTTTTTTCTGTTAAAATAGGGGAAGTGTTTTTGAGTAAAATTTCTGGTTACTCTATCCATTATTAGTAACTTAAAACACCCAGAGCCCTGATGGGTGTGTCACCACTGTCTAGTTCTGTTCTGATAAAGGCCCACAGCATGAGGGCACAAACACCGTGTTTTTAATGGTAATAATGACTTTACTGCTAGTTTTCAGACACATTTTTGTATAGTCCTATCAAAAACCTTCCCGGTGTTTGATGTGTGATATATTAAGAGTCCTCCTGGATGTAGATATTTAAAAACAACATTGTTGTTATCACTCTTCCAAAATTTTTGCTGAATACATAATTGATATTTGTCCTGGTCAAAGATCTTATACCTGAATTGTAGAGCTCTACGGCTCAGTAATGGGCTCTTTTTGGCTGCGTTGCTGATTAAAGCTCCAATCATCTTGCCAGGAAGTTCAGCTCAGCATGCACGTCTTTGCATTTAAGCAGCAGTAGCAAACTCTTTTTTATTTTATATCATAGATTTAACCATAGTCTTTGAGATATCTTCATGATATTCATGATGCTGTGTTTTAACAAGCCTTGGCAGAACAGATGGGATTTGATCACAAGGAGCTGGACTATATTTAGCGAGTAGGTCTCTTCTAAAGACAAATGGTTTCACTTGATTTAATTTAGCTTGAGGATATAATTTAAACCCAAGCATGATATTTTCTGATTATTTGTTAATGAAAACCAGGAGAATTGGTTTCAATCACTTCCAATAAAATACAGAAAAAAAATAATCAGACAAAATGTGTGAAAACAAGTTCAAAGTACAAGTTATTTATGTTTCTGGAAGGTACTAGAAAACTCTTTTTAAAATGTTGAGAATTGTTCAGATTGAACAAACCATGTTGGAGATTTGTATCTTTCAGTGTTGACAGGAGGACCCCAGTGGTTACATTTACTGAGCTCGATGCACGTCTGCTCAAAGTGTTTCTGACCTGCTGCTGCCATCAATTGTCAAAAGAAAATTAGCTCAGTTTAACAGCACTTTGGGTATCAGAACCTTAGCAGGAATAGCTTTGTAATGTTCAGTGCTGGTGGGCGTGATGAATGAAAGGTAACCTGATTACCAGCGGAGCTATTAAAATCTCTCATGTGTGACTTGCCACAGCAGCCGTCTCTGCTTAGCAGAGAGGCGGCAGATTGCTGTTTGGCTCATATAAGTGGGTGTGTGTCACTATTGATTTCCATGTTGTGTTTTTTCTCAATGTATTTAACTCACGCTGGGTTCAGATTTATTATTCATACAGTCACAGAGGCAGGGAACAGGCCGCAGCTTCAGTTCTTACCACATTTGACTTTTCCTCCGCCCAAATGTTTCTCTTCACTCTTTGTTACCTGACAGGTTGGAATTGTGTTTTCTCTTTTATTTGCAGGCCAGATATCCATCAGAATAATTACAGAGCAGAGGTAATACATACTGCACACATAGGGTAAAAACTATAGGGGGGATGTTCCAGCATCATGGGGCCATGGGGAGCATTTGAAGGGCCTGTAGGCAAGCAGTAAATGCCAGTCTGTCCGTCCGTTTTAATGAGCTTTTTCAGTTTGTGCTTATATTGTTAAAACACCGGCCATCTGAGGCAAATAAAATCCTGCAAATGGTGCAGAACTCCTCAGATTTAAATGAAGTGGAAACACAAAATGTGGCAAAATGAGGTTCCACCCAGCCTTTTTTTTTAATTACATCACCTCATCAGAAACTCTTCCCCTGTAATTGCATTTGACAGTTGAAGGATTAAGCAATTACTACCCTAGAACTGATAAATGTGGTGAGACAAACCCTTGTACTTAAAAGCAGAATGGGTAGAAACATATTGAGTTTGCTTGTTATGTCAATTGCAGACACAACAAAATGAGACACTTAAATTCTCCACATGTAGCTGCAGTTCAGGTTAAATTGCTTTATTTTATTGCTTTAAAATAAATAAAAAACATTTCATTAACTATAAAGCCAGTGGCTAGCAACATCAATCAATAATTATAGTTGATTATTAAGTAAATTAATCTTTTTATAAAACAAAACATGTGGGTTCATAAATAACTAACCAAGTATTTCTCTTTCTGTCAGGTGTTGTTCTATGAATGCCAGAATAGCGAGGCTTGCCCTTATAGAACAAACAATGGAGAGGATTTGGGCATTGGTGTCCCCTAACATAACTGCATTAGGTGGACCCAAGTCTTATTAAACCTTGGGGTGTCACTTAAGTTCACTTAAGTTGGTGAGTCGAGGCAGGTGAATGAATATTTTTGATCACACATATTTTCTCTTTGGGGAGTGCTTAAATTGTCCAATCAAAATAATATTATCCATAAAGCCTTTAGTTCTTCCTGTGCCTTTGCAGATACATCACTTCTGATCCTGTGGAGTCAGTATGTCTGGAATATTAAGTAAAAGTATAATATGAATTATGACAATACCAGCAGCTATTTGGAGCCAAATCATTTTTAATTTGCTTCCACTGAATGCCCCCAGATTTCATTAAACCCATCTTTATGTTCCGATCAAAAGTTGAACTAAAGAAACTTCTCTATGTTTGGATATAATCTGCTTTTGATTGTTACGGCTACAGTTGTTAAAGCTTCACTTCCTGAGCAATTCCAGTTAAAAAGTAAGATGAGAAATTCTACTGAGTGTGTTATAAGTGATAAACTTTTGCTTGCTTTCCTTTTTACAGCATCCTACAATAAAAGGGAATAACTTTGTAGGACATTTTGACTTTCAATGAATGTGAAAGTGATGTTTTCAAGCATTTACAAAACACATGTATGTAACATATGATAACTATTTTTTGTTTTGTTTTGTTTTTTCATCATAATTTTCCAGACTTGGAGAACTTCAAGACTCACAAAAGAAGCTCTGTCTCAGTACGTGAAGGTCAAGGAGTGGTTTTGCTGTGTGGCCCTCCTCCACATTCAGGAGGTAAAGTTCTCTTTCTAGAACATTTTAACTCAACTTGCTGGCAATTAGTTTGTTTTATAAAAGATGTAAGTCTGCTGTGAAAGGGCCACAGTGAGAGGCTGGTTCTATCTGAGAAACATATTATTTAAGCAAATCTGTTTATACTGTATGCAAACCAAAAAAAAGTTGTATATTTCATTATATGTATCTTTCTCCTATATGAACACTCATAAATCTACTGCCATAGACGGTAGCCGATGATAGATTTGGTTTGCAAAGAAAAGGGACCAAATGTTGTCAAAGCTAATGAATAGATTTTACATTCTGTACCTTAGAGAACTGGCATTTTAAGATTCGAGTGCACAGCTTCCAGTCGTATCATTTTGTAAACATAAAAATTACCATTCCTACTCAAATAATATCTTCTGAGTTTCTTTTCAGATCTTGCTGCCTCTTTGAACAAAAATATTTTTATATTATGTTGTTTTGACCAGGCGTGACAAGTGCTGCTGTCTGGAGACTGTGAGCATAATTTGCCATGATTAGAGCAGTTTCTCTTGACTTTTTGCCAGCAGAAGTAAAGCATGTTCCAGCCCTGCAGTATGTATTCATCATTGTTTAGACTCAAGCTATAGGCAGACAATGCCTGAATCAAATAATGCGATCCATGGTATTTGCTTTCTCTCCGAGAGCTAAATGAGAAGATCAATACCAGTTTGGGTTAGTACAGCATAGAATAACTAGAGCACTTTGAATTCCATGAAATATTCAAAGACCTTTGGTCTGTGTGATATCATTTATTGCTTAATATGAGTTTAATGTTTGAAGTAAGCAAGATGTGCTTATAGAGGGTTATAAAACTAAAGGATACAAATCTTTTAGATTAGTTGAGGATTTATTTGAAAAAGACCTTAACACCAAGTCAAAAGAACATGTTCTACCTAAAATGTCCCTAATTCGAATAAATTATAATGGAATTTGGGATTTAGTTGGGGAAAAAAAGAACACCAAGAAGATCTTGATTTAACGAAATCCCTGGATTAGCATTAAGGGTCCACGTTTGCAGGGTACCCCCTACTTTTATCTTTAACCTTGAATCTGAGGAAACGTTGTCATTATGACACCTTGTTAATTTACCTTTCTGATGGCTGAATATATAAAGACAGAAATTATTTTGGTAGCTTTTTCTGTTCTTTCAGTTTTTCTGTAATCTTAGTAACAGCACTCCAAATATCTTGGTGTATCTTTACTTGATTTGATTTAACATTTCATTTCCAAAAACAAGTTTAGAATTCCTGAAAATGACTTCTGAAAGAATTCTCCTGCTGTGAAGTGTTTCGTGTCAGAATCAGGTTCTGAGCTGGCTTATGAATTTTACAAAAAAAGAGACGATATGTGAAAACCACCTCTGTTCCATGTCATTATGTCACTAAAAAATTTTATTGCAAAAGGTTCAAACTTATCAGTAAAAATTGTTTTTCTTTTTTTGTAACCAACAAAAAAAAAATATATATATATATATATATATATATA